TTATCGGGGATACAACATAATTTCCCCCTTCAAGCATTTTTGTTTGTAATAATAGTAGTTTTCTTATTGAAGAAGAGGAAAAGTATCCTGTTCGTGTCACTGTAATTTTGTTGTTTTCGTTAATATTCGTGTTAATATTTTTTTTCCATTTTTGATGTTTCGTCGTTATATGCTAAATAACGGGTACCACTGTTTGAATTCTCTCATGGGGAAGAAATTGCGTTTCTTTAAATATTGGCTAGGTTTTTTTTTTTTCGTTGTGTTCTTTGTTATATGTAGCATGTTTTGGATCAGCAGCACTGTACTGAAAATGACGAAAATAAATGAAAATTATTTCAAAAAATTTCAATTCAAGGTTTTTCTGTGCTTCCACGCCGCTCAGTGACGCTCAGAACAAGGAAGGAAGGCGAACCTCCCGTGATTTTCCAGGATGGACGTGTACATTTCGAATGAATTTTAAATACACATAACTTTTGAGGACACTAAAAAAGTAAATAAAAATGACGAGTGACTAATAAAAGAAAAAGAGATTTATTTCGCCAAAGTGGCAACATCAGAATAATATTCGACACCTTTGATAAAAAAAAACGTTGCGGTAGAATGTTTCAGATGGAATAGCTTATATTTTTGTTCTCTTAAATGTCTAAATAAAATTCTTAATATTGTCAAAATATATTAATTTGAAAATTTTAGTTTTGTATTTCAAGAACCGTTATTAACTAAAATTTAACAAAGTGGGAGAAAACACATTTCAACATGAATTACATTACGAAAGAAACGTTTTCTAAGTCGTATGTTTATTATTTTGAAAACACTTTCAGAAGTTATAAACATTTAATTAAAATATTAAATCGAAGTAATTGTAATGTTCATAAAATAACGGATCTGCTATTACAAATTTTTATCATAATGTATTTGGATTCAAATGATAGTATTATCATTGTAAGCTCAGAAATTAGTTGCTAGCAATATCACAAATTTGTGTCACAAATGTTATATATGTATAATACTACAGAAAAGTTGACGAGTTTTTAACAAGCAGTTATTATGTATCACATACTGCCAAGCGAAGCTCATGTGAAGTACGAGTAGTTAAAATGGCGTTATTATTTAATTAATAGCAATAAAAAATTAATGCTAACTATAGGCAACTCAATAAGAAATTTGCATTTTATTCTGTATGACTTAATTGCAGTTTTTATTCTGAGATTGAAAACATTCTTTCCTGCCGTAAAGAATGCTTGAATGGAGTAACCATTGATACAACTTGTAGTGTTTCGGGGAAGGCATCGCTCGTTTTTCGTATTTCCTATTTCGAATATCAAATAGACTCTAAAATGGGATCTCAAAAAGTGTATATTTTGTTTTCCTCAGCTTTATTTACGGCTAATATTATATTCATGCTTCCAGACATTAAAAAGCTTTCGTAATTTTCAAGGAAAAGGAATTCTAAGAACTTACGTTTTGAAACTGAAAATATATAAGCATAGTATGAATATATGTCCTCTGGTTTGCTTCATTAAGTAAAGGAATGTTTTAATAAGCACTTAAGATAAAGAACTATATAACAACTATTCAACAATGAAAATGGTAATAGGATAACAAACAAATAAGTTTTCTACAGTTATTCTTTTGTATTATATATAATGAAATTTGATATAGCAACGTTTATAGAACATTCCAGAAATTTTCGTTCAATTTATACATTTTTAGAGTATCTGTACTGTTTCAAATCAACATAGTGGACACGGTGTTGCAACTTGGCTTGGTCACTATTTATTTTGTCTTTGGCAGGGTGCCAATGGAACTCGCGTAATCCGTGTTTACTCAGCATCTAGTGGCTGTTTCACCTTCACAATCAGGGTGATATCCGTCCGACCTAAACTGAATTACGTAGCTAATTATTGGGTAAAACAAACAGTATAGAGGTTGTTAGAAGATTTTTATTTGTATGAACTGCAAACTATGTGTTATAGTGTGACGTATATTTCATATTGAATTACAGATTGGACATTTGTCGCATTGCGAAAGTAGTTTACAATGGACATCTTTAATGTGAACAAAATTCCAGTAAAACATTTAACCCCTTCGCGCCGACTGTCACGTATACGTGCCAGCAACGAACACACTTATCTACCGGCCGACACGCAGGCGTGCCAGAGCATTGTTGCGTTTTCTACCGAATGTCACGTAGTTGTGCCAGTACCTTGGAACGTTTTTCAAACTATAATTTCTGCTACAAGATGGCACTGTATGCCCATATGGTTTCAAATACATGTACATTAGACATTCTACTCGAAATGAGAGAAGCATGACTCACATACACGTGTTTTTGATTATATAAACAAACGGGGAACTAAATGTTTCCGAATGGCGTGATTTATGACGTCTCTTTAAATCGCACTTTATTCGCACGTGGTAGTGGTAGTTGTTTATTGTAAGTAGAAGTTTTACATGCGCTAAAGCGTTGAGTATTTCGGTTTACAGTTCAGTTTTTAGAAAATAATTAGATCTCGTTAGACGTGAATTCTTTCTGTTTTTACCGTTTCAATGTCGAAGCGTCGAAAATGTTTAACAGAGCATGAAATAGCAGAAATGATGCAAAATATTTCAGATATTGATTCTGAAATTCTGATATTCTGATATTAATTCTGAAAGATTAACTGAAAGACATTTTCCAAAACTTTGTTCAGAAGAGATTGATAAGAAAATGAGACGACGGTGCTTCGTTTGTTCACATTCCCAGAAAAATCCTCCAAAACGGCAAATGAGTTATTACGAGTTCAAGGAATGTAGCGTAGGACTGTGTGTAGATCCCTGTTTTAAAATTTTTCATACGAAAAGAGAATTTTAAGTAATATATTTAGTTTTCAGATGTATAATGTTAAAAGTTATAAAATGGTGAGTAATTAAAATAAAATGTGTAAAATATGCATTTAAACAAGAAATAAGGTAATTAAAGTATATATATATATATAAATATCTATAAAGTATAAGCCGTTTAAATACTCTATAGAGCATTATTAAACAATGCGTTGATACTTCGGGAATTTCATGGATTTAGGCTTAGTAGCAAAAAAGCCCCCGGCCGTGGAGAGACGCTCGCGGAAGACACTGCCGGCCTCCGCGATAAGCGCGCGGTTTCGCTACCCGGCTCGAAGGGGTTAAGATAATGTGTGAAAAAGTTCCTTTGAAATTTTAATCCAGTTTCTTTAACAAGTTTTAGCAGTTATAAAAATTATTGTTAATTAATATTTCTAAATCTTCAAAGCTAATGAATGTAGCATTCTTTGAATTTTAATGCATCGCTAAAAATACTTGTTGTCGCATTAAGAAATAAAAGGCCCTCTCGAGCATTTAATTTTCAATTACTTAGCTTGATTGGATCCCGATAATAATACCACACTATCATTATTATTTTTTACATTCTCCATAAATAGGTCTTGTAAAATTTAAAAAAAAGAATTGCTTTTAATTAAAATTCCTGCCTCAAGGATGTATAATTTTTTTCTTCTATACGCTTGAATACTTCTGTCGCGTACTATTGTTTTCATTCCGCTCAAACGACGATAGACTTCTTCCCTCCCCCGAAATCCTGTCCAAAGTAAAAAAAAAAAAAAAAATGAACAAAATCTGAAATGTTTCAGATTTTAAATTACGTCCAAAGGGGCGTTTTTTACAAAATAGTTTTAAAACGAGCATATCTTTAGAATTTCCGATACAGAGACTCACGCGCTGGAGATAAAAATGTTTTTTCTGCACAACGTTGCCATTGCTCGCTTTGAAATCCTTGAGTTTGTTAATCAAAAATTCGTCAAAGTTTTAAAAAATAGGAAATCGATCATAAAAAATTTCAAATTTCAAATTTGGTCTTCCACATGCTCATATTCGTTGGAGGATTACGTTATTCAAAATTCGATGACTCTATGTACCGTTGTTTTATCACAATACGAGAAATATACATACATTTATGCAGATTTTTCATTATTTAATTTCTTCAAATATAATGCAGGACTCTAACATTTTGTGGCAACAGTTTGAAAAGTGAACCGAAATTTATGAGTCCGACGCAAAATGCCAAAACGAAACTAATAGTCCTTCGGGATTAAAATCCCTTTGGACTAAAAAAGAAAGCTGTCGCCAGTTCATGCGGCATAATGCCCATCATTTTGGTCTTCCAAACTGTAGAACATGTAGCAAATAATTTTTAGTCAATTATGTAAAATTATTCTACAACAAAAATTCATATTAAAATTTGTAACACAAGTATTAAAACTATTTCAAATAATGTAATGTACTTCCATTGCTAAATTCTTCTGACGGCATGCTGTTTGTTCCCTGTCAAAGCAGCAACATTTAGGTATAAACATAATGATAAAAACATCTAAGTATTTCTTCTTTTTAAATGTTTTTAAACACTGATACACTCTTTAATATCATTTTGATATTTTTCAGTTTTACAGTGCTTACGTCTTAAGTCGGAAACAGGAACAAGTATTTAAACCTTTACAGTAAATAATTTAGGAATTGAATCTATCAAAACTGTTGGTTTATCGTAACAATGCCTCTAAGCACGCTATGTCATTCTGAATTTACATATACCGTAGTTTTGACCTTTCATCATTGATGTCAGATTTTAAGAATTTTTTACAAAAAGGATGTTTTATGCACTAGAAAACTCCCAGTGAAAAGCATTAATATCGGCCAAAGAACAAGCAAATTAAAACGTTGAGTGAAAAATGCTTTAACTCAATTCCTGAAAACGTAGGCTCAACCTATTGTTATAATTTAAAGACAGGGATTTATTTTAAAAATGCATTTATAAAAACTATTTCTTTCTAAAATGCTCATATATAATTTTTTTGCTATAAATATTTACAAAATCTTAAAACATCTTCATTTAAATATTAAAGAAATGGGAACACTTTTTGCAAGAAAATAAATCATTAGACGCAAAAGGTTACGTTGAAAAATTCACATGAAATGAATCATTTTTATAGGTACTATCGTCTAGAAGCACAACTAGCATCCATGTCATGGAAAATTCGTTGGGAGGAAATTGCACTGTCTACCATGACCAAGAAAAGGAGACCGGGTTCTAGAATGAGTCTCACTAGGATCAGCATGGCGGTAAGTGAATCTCTTTGCATTTTGTTAGAAAACACGTCTTGTAACATCATATAAAAATCTGATATCATAAACTTTCAATGGCTTCATTCAAATATGCGCTGAATGTCTTTTGAAACATTTTTGAGACACTTTTCATACTGTTTTTCTGTTAGCCTTAATTTGATGGCATATTTTCTAATGTCATGTCTGTTATTAAATTATTGAATACTAAAATTAATATGATATTATTAATATGACATTTCTGAAGGGAATATTTTCCTTAGGAAACTCAAAAGCAAGTAATTCTTGATGGATTAAAAAAAGAACAGAATGATATATATGCAGAACTTAAGATAACATGAAATGCATTTATTACACTTTTATATCTCCTTATCTATTGGAAAAGTTATTTCACACTGTTTACATTGAAAAGTTTAAATGAAAAACTAGGTTGAATTTTATGTCAGACTGTCAAAAATATTTTAAAATAAGTAAAGTTACATGCATTTTTGTGATAAGAAGCGTACAAAATATTTATAAAGATTGCTATTTTAAAAAATCCCGTGTCAGCTTCACATAATATTAATTTTTACAAAATCACAATGACTTAAACGTGGTTTAAAATGACATGCAATTTCAAGTATGTCTAAATTTGTAATTTTGTGCACCAAATATTTTTGTGAGCAGTACAAATATTTACTTTATCGATACTGCGAGATGTAATTCTTAAAGACTGCAATAAATAAATGATTTTTAAACATAAAATATCTATATATTTCTTTGCATTTGGCATGTCTTGTGGCTTAAAACTTGACAGACTCCAATAAAATTATTTTTATGATAAACTTTAAATCCATTTACTTGAATTAAAATTGATAAATGACGAGAATAAAATCTTTCATTTCTCGAAGATTAAATTTCATTACTGAATTATTACTATTTTATTACTGATCTCGATAGTGAAATCTTAATTTTTCCTTAATATATATCTAAAATGTGATTCCCCTCAGAACAAAGTTTTTAAACCTGTTACAAATGGGGAGTAATGTTTTCTGTGTTAAAACGTCAACTGAGTTTCATTTTACAGTTATTCCTATTTGGAAAATTATTCAACGTTGATGTGTTTAATAATAAACTAATCGTGAAAACATAAGGAAAGTAGTGTGATTTTATGGTATGATAATTACATTTTTCATTTCAGAAAACAACAAAGCAATCACATTGATTATAATGTGAAGTCTACACGTTTAGGTTTCTGAAAAATAATATTAGTTGAATATCTATAATCTCTAAGTTTTTAGACTACTGTAATTTAATCCATTTTGAAATTTTAATGAGCAAGCATCTGCTTTTCTTTAAAAAGAAGTGGAAAATTTGCAGGCATATTTGACGCCAACAAGCCTTGCATAATCAATTAAGACAAGATCCCGTCTTAGATTAACACTGGTTTAAGGAAATGCTTTGTGCATTTTGAAGAAAACATGTAGTATATTTCTTAAAGAAGCAAAAATGTTCTGCATTGCAAAGTGGAAGTAAATCATATAAATAAGGTTATAAATGAAATGAATAAAAACTGAAAAAGAGATATGCAACAATTTTAGGGACGTCTGGCAGAGAAAAATAGGGCTAAAAGGGTTCAAAAATTTGATGTAAGTCTTTTAAAAACGTACAAACAATTTGGATTGGAATTGGGATCAGAAATTGTCATTGATAGATTTTGGTCTAAATTGGAAATAATAAAGAAAATTTAATTCACCGATGGGAAAAATTTTGGATAATTTTACTGGAATGAAATTTTAAAGGTTCTTAAAGAAGAGTAATAAACTACAGAAGATTTGCTGATTTCTTCGTCCGTGAAGCAATATTAGTGTTCTTTAATAGGAAATTTTATCGTTTTCTTAATCTAATTTGTGTTTGTTAAACTTCACTGGTACTGGATAATTTAATTTCTTAGAGATCAAAATTTGAAATAAAATCTTTAAGGACTGGATAACAAATTTATATAAAAGAAATCCAGATATCCTCAGTGCTGAACTTATGGAGACTACGGTAAATTTTACTACTTACAGAAAGGGAAAGTGGGAAAAAAATTATTCTGGCTACTTAAATGGAATATGTTTCTTTGTAATGATAAAATGAACGGTTTCGTTAATAGAAGGAAAAATAAATCTGCTAAAAATAGCAGCTAGCTTCATATAACTGAGTTTCTGAGCAAGATAAACAAACCTCAAGGACACGAAGTAGGTAAGAATACTTAGAAGCAATTTTTTATTTAGACGAGTGAGAAGATACAACACAAAGAAAAAAAAAAGAGTTGACGTATTTCTGGCGCACATCGTAAAATATGTTTGCTTCTTCAAAAAGAGAAAATCCAACTCCGTAGTTAACAGAATTTCACAGAAATTTTTAAAACCATCATCAATCCCAGGTTGAATCTTGCCTTGAGTTAAATGTAAACTTGGAATGACTTTCTTTTCATCTGAACGAAACAGACGAATATCCAGAAATTATGCTGCAGTTAATCCGCTTACATTACAAAGAGCTTGGATTTCATTATTCTTCTGAGAATAATAAATAAATGTAAAAGAAAAAAATAGCATTGTGTATCTCGGAAAGACGACTTGATTTACGGGCCATCTTAATTCTAAGCATTAGAGTTACTGACTTCTTGAAGAAGTGACTGGGAATGTTCAAGAGAATGTTACATCGCGATTTTAGACAATTTCATTATTTTAATTTGCGTTGTTTATAACTCCTGTCACAGAGATTCTCATATCTGCATAAATATTAACACGCGAATAATCACCTTAGAAATTTTGTGGTCCAAATTAACAGCATATTTTTTTATGCTTTAAGCCAAGAGTTCCCAACACAGGGTTGGCATTGAACCCTGTGGTTCGAGGAAATTTTAAACGGGGTCTGTGATGGTGAAGGAGTCTGTTGAGGATCAAAAGCCGAATATGTACGGGCAGTTGGTCAGCAGATTATTCTATTGATTACAAAAACAAATATTAATAAAATTTATAATTAATTGTTTATTGATGTAAAGCTTTGTTGTACAAATACGTCTTGACCAAAACACATATGTAAGCTAAGTTTTAGAATTTAAAAGTCATCCGAGAGAAATATCTTCAAAGAGAAATTGTTTCCGAACCAACATTATTGACTTTCCCTCTTCTGACCTAATGGAAGCATGCATTAGTCAAATCAATAGCTTTCTACGGAAAAGAAGAAATAGGTTGGATTTAAAAATTAAACAATTGTATGCTAAATGCTAAACAAAGTTTCCATCAGTAAATCAAGCGCAGCCATTGTATTAGTCATCTAAAATCAAACTTTTGGGATCTTAAAATCTGTAATTTTGTATCTGAAAACTTATTTATATTTCTAAAATTAAAAATAATAATATTATTTAATAACTAAAGTCTGAAAGGTTTCAGATTTTAACGTTCGCCCAAAAGAGCTCTTTTAAAATTTACTATAATTTATTAGCATATATTTTCAATAGAGGTGGTCCGAATGGAACAGCGAAATATTTTATTGGCTACTAAATGAATATACATTTATACTGGCGTGCGAACATTACGTATCTTGCGCATAAAAATATTTAATGTTTCTAATTAGTTATATTATGCATTAAATGCTTTTTATTTAACTAGATCAGATTCAAAAGTTAAAAGAATTGAGAATCTTAAGAACTGCATCTATTGAATTTAAATAGCTTAACTTATTTATCAATTTCAGGGAAGATTAAATTTGAAATATAAACGTATTACATGCGTCCGAATGGCAACAAACGTGAATGAAAAGTGAAACGACACATTAAAGTGAAACGAGGCAAAGTCGCCTTTCGAGACTAATAGCCCTTTTGAGCTAAAAATTATAATACATAAATCTAATGAGCCAATTTTTTCAAAACTTTTGTTCCTATTCTTAATGTAAATTTACCTTTCAGTTTTCAGTTTATTTGTATTATTATTATGTTGTATGCTATATATTACAAAGAAAAATGCGATGGGTTTGATGAAGTAAACTATTCTTTTAGAAGGGGTTGATGGTAGAAAAGGGTTGGAAATTCATGCTTATGCAATTTGGAATGCTAAGCACTTCATATTAGGACACTTGAAAGGATACTTTATCTCACAGTGCCAGTGTGAGATATGATGTGTTAGAAAAACTTTATCTCACAAATGATGTGTTTCATGTAGTGAAGTACCGTAGTGATACTCCAGCATTTACTATGAAAGTATTTACTATATATTTGCGGCATACAAGCACACAAAACCTGTTTAATTTCTGTAATTCTTTCTATTAAAAACACAAACAGTTCTCCGTGTACCACAAATTATCACGTGGGTCTTACAGAAATAAATATGAAACACAATATAAAAAAGGGGTCAAAATTAAAATACGTTCTAAGGATTATGATAATTTACAATGAATTTCAAAAATAACTTAAGGCTCACAGAAATAGACTGATGAAATAGACTTCTCACAGAATAGAATTCTCACAGAAATAGACTTCTCACAGAAATGGAAATAGACTTCTCACAGAAATAGAAATAGACTTCTCACAGAGATAGAAATAGACTTCTCACAGAATAGACTGATGAAAATCAGAAAGAAAGCTAATATTAATATTTTAACTGCTAGTTTTAAGCTGTTTCTTTCACTGTCAAATTTGGAACACAGAAGTAGCATATATTTAATATTTTTCCGGCCACCGACGCTGCAATCACAAAAAATCTCTGGACCCGATTTAAATCTGCTCAGTTAACTTTTAAAATGTCTATGGTCAGTAAGGAGTTGGTTCATTTTATAACATGTAAAAAATGATGACATGACAATTTCATTTCGATGTAAGGGAAAAATCTCTTAGTAAGCTTCCTTTATTTGAACTTTTTTATTCATAATTCCACGACTCTAAAATACTTTCATTCACGACCTTCAAAAGGATTTTGGGATATTGACAAAAATGTCAATTTAACTCTTAGTGGCATTCTTTTCCAAAAAATCGGCCCTTTCATTCCTAGCAATATCAGTATGTCCACGAGGTGGGCATCAGTATTTCCAAATGGGCATCAGCACCCAAAATGTTTTATCTCTTAGGTTTTTAAGTTATCTGTGAATTTGGAAGGTTATGTTATTAACAGAAGAAATGCATTTTAGAGTCTCCAAGGTCAAATAGGAACAGGAATTTCAATGGTAAATTTCAATCCATTACTGTATTTATTAGGAAAAAGCAGGTTTTAAAAGATTGTATGCATTAATTTTCTTGAAATTCATTTGCCTTGACAAATATATTTCTCTGTAAGAGTAAATATCGGTTAGTAAGCAATTCTGTAAGGTGATCCGTGATTCCCAACTTGGTGATCCGTGATTCTAATAAAGATGAGCACATAAAGGGTGATGTCCCATGTATCTTGCCAAAAGTTCTAACAGAGAAAAAGTGATATAATCAATTACTATCATCCCCTTAGCAGGTTGCTGTGGTTTAAGTGATTAACATAGCCAGCAAGTCATAGGGATTTTCATAGTTCAAGCTGCAGCAATAGCATATTTGTTTTCCCCAATTTCCCCGCACATAAAAGCCTGGTTTTTTAGGTTTTGAAATCACTTTTAATTTAAAATTAACTTTCCTGTCCCAAGAAGAAAGGTAGCGTTAATTTGGCTCAGATTTTGATTAAAACTCCATCGAATACTTCAGGAGAAAAGAAACTGTGTCTGATATCCCTCAAAATCGTTGGAGTTTCATTCAGAGTCTACTGAACATTAAAACTGACCCTTTCGGCTAATTTAAATTTCAGATTAGATGTTTCTTTTCCATTTGATTACATTAAATTCAAAGAAGATATGAAAACGTAGAAATGTATAACTTTTTATTTAATTTATGCATAAATTAATTATGCACATTTAGTCTGCACGTTACATATTTTCACATCGTGATAAAGATTTCAAAACTACTTTACTTTATTTCAGTTGCTCGAATTGACAATTTAACTATAATCGGTATATTTTCCATATAAATTAATCTTACTTATCGTTTATTATCACTGTCATATAACGGCTTTAACCTGCTTCTTTCACATGAATAATCTACAAAAAATCCATGATATTATTTTATGACTGATCATCTACAGGTTTCCAGAAGCGAAAAATACTAAAGCATTGCAAAATATTTTATACAAAATATCTTCCATTCTTCTTCCAAGTTTTAGAAGTATTTGAGTAAAAAAAGACCTCTGCCGTACTATACCATTAATACACTCGTGTGCAAAATCAAGAGAATTTTTACATTTTGTTGATTTTCTGGAAAAATAATAGACACATTTCAATGAAATTTGTTAAGAATATACATTATTAACAGAAAACGTGATGTACCTATCAAAAGTCATTTTATATACCAATGATTATCAATAAATCTCATAATGCAGATATGTCCCAAATCCACGTTGTGATATCGAACGGGAAACGAGTCTAATATGGGGTATTGCTCCTTCTCACAGTCATATAGGTCACGCAGAGTGACGGCATAATGAACAGGAGCCACTTGTGACAGTCGATTCCACTTCTACAGCAAGGCAGTTTTCAACTCCTATGTCCTGAGGATCCAGCGTCCCAGACATGCTGTATATAATTTAGGTCTGCAACTCTAGCTATCCAAACCATTCAGCTAATATCTTCACTTTCTGGCTGAGCTCTGTGTGGATGACCGTCGTAACATTTCATTACATGTTGAGGATATTTGTAATAAGTACTCTCTCAAATAGCAGCACTTTAGCATATCGCCATGAAAGATAATTTGTTACTAAAAACAATAAATTCCTCTTCGAGGTATTAATCATTCCTAACTGCACACCCATCATTATATTCCCTTAAATAACCATCTTCACAGAATAAAAGAATTAGCTGAAATCATGGATGATCATCTTAGGGAGGTTTAATTGCAATTACCTTTCCTCGTGTAACCTAATTTTACGTTAAATTGAACGGAGGATTTACTTTAAGATTCTGAAAGATTGAAAAAATTCAGAATTCTTTATTAATCAAAGGTACATAAAGAGATGTAATGCAGTCATACTTCTTATTCTGTAAATTATTTCTTCTGTAGCTACGTTAATAACAAATGAAAGCACTCACCTCCATTACGTCACCTCCATACAATTAAAATTCTGGAGTGATCAAAACTATTTAAAAATTCTTGTTAGCTCAAAGGGGCATTAGTCCAGAAGGGCTATTAGTCTCGAAACGGCATTGTGCGTGGGTTAACTATAAACGGCGTATGACTCTTAAAATTGTTGCTACCATGTGTTATCGCCCTCTATTATGCTTAAATAAATTAAATAACGAATAATCAGCATGAATGTATGTATGTTTATTGCATCGTGAAAGAAAGGATGGTTCCTATGGACTGTGCCATTAAATTTTCATTAACGTAATCCTCCACCCGAACGTGGGGACATAGATGGACGTAGACGCTCGAATTTCGAATTTCAAATTTGTTTTATTATATACATCGTATTTTGTAAAACTTTAATGAATTTTGTATTAACAAACTTAATGATTTCAATGCTAGAAATGGCAATACAGTACGGAAAATTACATTTTTTATCTCCAACGAGCAAGAATGTCTATGGGAAATACTAGATATGCTGTTTTTAAATATTTTGTGACATTGCTATTGAATTGAAATTTATGTTGTTTAAGTGCAAAGAACATGGTATTTAATAATTAAAGGTAACACACAAAACGTTAAAAAACATCCCTTTGGTTGTAATATAAAATCTAAAAGCTTTTAGTGTTTAGTTTTCATTTCTTTCTTTAAAATTTATAGCTGTTTACATCAGAAATAAGTTACTTTTTTCCATGTTGTTTATCGGGCAATAATTGCAGCTTACTATTTTTTTAAAAACAAGTTTTGCACTAAGTTATTATAGCATTATTAATTTATATTTCAGAGCACAGTGTCTGCAGAAACCTTACCTCTGTGTGATATGAATCAACAAATGTTTTCTAACACCGGATTTTATAAGGTATGTCATGAAATATTTCTTAATAATGAATGAAAATGTTATTAGTAATACGCTACATTTCAGTATGTGTGAATACGTTGTATATCAGATTGGTAAAATTTAATTATATCATATTAGTAATATTTTTATTCATTATAATTCATAATGAATGAAAATTATGGCAATATGATACTATAGTATAATATGATGCAGACGAATCAGATTATTAAATTACTAAACGTTTAATTTCTTCATATCATTAGCTATGCAGTCAGTTTCAGTTAATTAGCTTGCAAAATTAGATTTATCTTTTTTTTTTTACCTTATGCAAAAATTTTTTTATTACATTTTATATGCATATAAAATAATTCAGTGGAAATGAAGTAAGTAGAGTATTTAGCAAATGTGGCTAAAGTTGTTTGCTTGTATATTCATCCTAGATATGTCTTTGCGGTTATGAAGTTTGTTTCCCAAAATAAAGAGACGATTTTACGATTAAAATTTATGTTTTTGAAGTCCTAATTTTCTATTAATATACTGCATAATATTTCACATAAATACACGATACACATAGAGAAACAATTTTAGTTGCTTAAAGTTTTATGAAAATTTAAAAGATGAAGCCTGATAAAATTGTATACATTTACCTTCAAAACTCGATCATATATCTAATAATTATTTTTATAAATCAAGCTAAAATTTAATACGAAACTCTTTTCTAAGCAATATGGAGTCATTAATTTTATAAATCAGCAACTTTTGTTCTTACGTTCCATCCCATTTATAGCCTAAATATTTTGAAATAAGATCCGTAAATTGACACAGAAAAATGAATTAAGTAAATAAATCTGTTACCGATTACATATGCAAATTCCGAAAGGTTTGTATTTAATGTATTGGATTTTTACTGATTGTAATGTTTTTATAAATGAAGCATATAAGATCTTATATTTTACATTTAGAAATCCTATCTATTTTATTCCCAAGATCTTAGTCATATATACCTTTCTATCCGATTCTGAAAAAACAAATGCTTTTAGAGATACATATCTGGAAGCAATATTTAATACAAAAGTATAATTTCTATTAGAGGAATTTTAATTAATTCAGTTTCTGGAATAAGTAAGGTTTGAATAGTAAAAATGAATTAAAAGGGTTTCCTAACATTTACAATGCAGGTATGCTTCAGGTTTGTTTATGAGATTTTTTAATCTTATCTCCAAATTATAATAGTTATGAATTGTTTAAAACGACATGAGTTCAGAAAATTTAAGAAATTATTACTTGTTGTCAAAATCGAGAAATATTTCCTGAAAATCTTGTAACCTGAAGCGGTAAACATCGTTGCGTTAAATGAGAGAATTTTCGTATCGGGTAACAGTGCACAACAAATTACGATAAACCCAGCTCAGGAGATATTTAAAGGAATGCGTGATTTTATATCGCAGGTACTCTATTTTAAAACCAATAAATGTTAAAGCCTTGACCGTAACTATACCGTTGGCATTAAATTTTGTCATTACCCCTAAATCAACTCAGTTTGTCAGCCTTCCACCACCCTTTAAACGGTGATACTTATAACTCCGAAACCTAAAATATGGCGAAAACAAGGATTTTGCAAAATATTCTCACTAATTTAACTTGCAGCCAAGAACCAAATGATGATGCCCCATTTATTTTTAAAGGTCCTCAATATTTTAATGATATTGTTATGAATTTCGTATTTAGTTAGATATTTTTAGTAGAATTATAATTAAAATTATTTTATTTTCTCGTGCAATGCCGCACGAGACATATTTTAAGGGAAAGCTACTCTCGAAAAGTAAAAATACAAGAGCACGTACATTTAACTTTGAATAAAAGTTTATCTCGTAATTTATATTTAAATTGAATAAGTGTCATTGACTACATAACCGTAATTCTACTCCTTTAGTTTCCAGAAATCTCGAGAAGTAAAGGAAATTACTAGAACTCTCTAGCAACCGATAGAAAGCTTTAAAAAGCCGGAAAGAAACATCTCAGCTCAGTTGTTGTTGTTTAATAGCTGTTGGTAATTTTTTTTTTCGAATTCCCAGTGAGATTGGATTAGCTTTCACTTTGCATTACGTTGTGTTTTAACGTTTTGAGTAGTTTAAAGTACAGCTACTGATTATATTGCGTGATATTGTATGAATATCTCTGAGGAAAATTCCAGCGTTTTGTTATATTTTTTGCTATAAAAATACATTTTATTAATTTTTTACCAGACTTATGCATTCAATCAATTACGATCCCGTACGCACGCTACAATATCTATAAAATACTTGATAACGCTTATAAGTAATTTTTTCCTTCGCTTTCGAACGTAGTTGGTATTTCGTGGTGTAATTGGAAGCAAGCTTATCGCGAATGTGATAGGTTTGGTGTTCGAATTCCGGCCAGGGCCTTGCAGACTTTTCACGTTCTGCATCGATATAACATAATGACTCTACACACTGCAGTCGCAAATTTATTCAATTTTTAAGGTTACGATACTAGTTAAACACACATGTCTTTTCTGTTTAATTCATTCCATTATTTGCAACATTTTCATTTATTCATGTTCTTATTTTGATAATTTTATGTTTATTATGTACAAATAAGTCGACTAAGAATTTGTCTTTACGACATTTAGCCTTGGTCAAATTATATTCTCTATTTCAACCCAAGTCCTTTCTCAATGTTTCCGCTATCCCTTCAAATTTTGCATGGTTCCGAAACAGTGGAGAATGAGTCTTTAAATTCTATGGGTGAGATATTATTCTATCAATTGGATGTGTTCCTAAGAGAAAAGGATTCTCTTCTTTCAGTTTCAACCAGTGAAGATTTTGCAACTCTTTTTTGTTTTGCCAGTCATGTTTTGGCCCTCACCGTCTTGCATAAGATGACAGCTTATCCTGTCTAAGTAGATCAAGGATTAGGCTTCTGAAAATCACTAATGGATTTTTTCTTTAATTATCGTTATTAAGAGACAGGGCATTATGCTCAGGAACTCCAATTCTTAATTCAAGTGTCACTAACTGTAGTAAAAAGGTGGCAAAGAACTTTCGAGGTTAAATTGTACTATAGGTTTTCCAGGAATTTCGAGGCAAAGAACTTTCGAGGCATTTCGAGGTCATTGCGTGCTAGAGCAAAGTTTTAAAAAAGGTAGGATTAAGTTAATCTATCTAATGTGCCTTGTCGAAAAGCAATGAGTCCCTGATATATAAAGTAGCCAGCTTTCACAATTAAGGAAATATACTGATCTTGAAAAATCGCATAAGATGATTGATATAAGAATGTCTTCTGATTTTCAAGTCCACTATTTATTATCTTTAAACACCTTTCAAGATGCTGGGAAAATATCTTTTCCCGTCTTTTCCTACTTTTCGAATTCTAAAAAATACAATAGGTCATTTTTGTATTCATGTTTCAGAATTTTTATGGGGATATTGGAAATTTTTTGCAGACAGTAGAATTATGAATTTTGTACCATAGCGTAACTTAGTCAATTAATTAAATACGAATTTCGAACCAAAAATACTAAATACATAAACATACATTAATTTCTTTTTTTTTTACTTTGCATTGTTTAGCTATATGTAATTTCGTTAAATTTGCATATATTTAGAACGCAATAAATTTATCAAATATAAGTACATGTAGAATGCAAAATATTTGCAATAAATCGTCTGGGTTGTTCGTAATTTAAAAAGTCTTTTTTCTCGAAAGTGTATTTAAAAGAATTACTGTGTAGAGACATTAGGTATTTTTTGGAAGCAGGACACGTGAAAAATGAGCAGCGCCTTCGCAGGGAATCGAACCACGGTCTTCTGGAATACGCACCCAGCGTGCACACCAAGAAGGCGGGATAAATTCCGTATATACTTCTCCTTTTAAAGGGATCGTGGAATTTTAGGGGAACCAATCGCCAAATCCTGGTGGTGAAGAATCATCATTCACCACCTTTTTAGTTCGGGGCTACTGTAGAGACATTAGATATTTTTGAAGCATGAGAGATGAAAAAAGAGCAACGCCTTCGCCGGGACTCGAACCACGGGCCTCTCGAATACGCGCTGAGCGTGCTGACCACTACAATACGAAGGCATGCTAAGAAGGCGGGAGAAATACCTAATATACTCCCCTATATTTAAAGGCCGACTGGGGATTTTAGGGGATGCAATCGCCAAATCCTGGGTGTGGAGAATCATCATCCACTATCCTTTTAGTTCGGGCGCCACTCTAGAAACATTAGGTTATTTCGAAGCAGGAAAAATGAAAAGTGAGCAACGCCTTCGCCGGTAATCGCACCATGGACCTCTGGAATACGCGCCCAACATGGACACTACCACACAACGAAGGCGGGAGAAATACCTTATAACTGCATTGTAAATACAGCCAATATGTAAACATAAAACTAATAAAAATTTATAAAAATAAAATCAATATATACGTACTTACTGGCACATTGAAAATCAAAATTATTTGCTGATGCTACATCATAATTGTTTAATACTCCAAAATTGGTCACCAGCGTTAATCTAGTATGATCGTTAATGAAGAATATAATTGTCCCTCAATTCTAAATAAACAGTGTTCACTTTCGCAAATGCTTCTGATTAATAAGATTCTTAATGAGCTCTGATTGCAACAAATTTCATTTGTCGATGAGAGCTGAAGCAATTCATAAATAGAGAATACTCGGACAGAGATTTGATCAAATCTGCTTCAGTCTTTGAATAGCGAACACTATTCGGATATTGCTAATAAATATCCGAATAGTGAATATAAAAAAGATTTAGACAAGGATTAAATGAGTATATGTATTTTTTATTCATTATCATTTTATACTGTTATCTATTAAAACGTATTTAACAATGGTGCGTAAGTTAATGAGAAAAAAGATTATTAAAACAAATGTAAGCATTGTGCATCTCTAAGGCTGCTATCACACGTCGGTTTGTTTCTGAAGAACAACTGTTTGGAACAATTTTTCTGCTTTGTCACAACAGCCAATCAACACA